TCTAATTGATAACAATTGTTCGCTTATATGCATTGTATTTCTCTCATTCATACTAGTAAATAATATCAAAAACGTTTCAGATTTTACAATAGACATGTTACTTAAACATGAAAATGTAATCAGATTTTGTATGTTTTCAATAATAATAATAATAATGAAAGTAATCATATCTGATTGTTAAAAAATGACCACACAAAAACCATATATAATTTATATGTTATGTATGCCATGCTTTTCTACTGATCATTACTTTATTCAACCAATTGATGTGAATAAATTCATTAATTTTTTTAATTAAATTAATAAATTATATGATTGATTATTATTTTCATATATGAAACTGATTATATAATTTGAGGGAAATTAGGGAATAGGAATTACTTTTTACAAAAATTGTTATATTATATTCTTTAAAAAAAAAGAAGAATTATGGTATAGCATGAAAGTGTTTCAACGTTTTTGTATTTATCTTGTATTATCTATATTGAAGGAATTATGATGTTTATTAGTTGTTTTGTAAAATATACTATTCTGCATTCCTTAATTTTTTTTTTAAAAGGTGTACACATGAAATATTGTTTTTAGTAATATAATATTGATTTAAAAAAGATAATAAAATGAAGGTTAAGTGTTATTTAACTCGTCTGCATAAATTCTATTCTTGATTTATACTGTATTTATATTCAGTTGATGAGATGATTGTTGTTTTAAATGAATAATTTTATACTCATAATCTAATACTTAAATTAATACAAATAGAATTCTGAAAAAAACTATATGAGTAGTTGGAACGATCTAGTAAACTTTTTAACTGTATATCTTCTGACTGAAAAAAATCGCTTATGAGTTAAACTATGAGTGATAATTAGAGAGTACTTAGATGTTAATTTACACTATCTTAACAATTATAATGTGAATGAAATGAATGACTGGGTAATAAATCACACTGCACTATGTATCAGTTTCTGTATGTTCATCTTGAACCATGAATTTTTTGAAATATTGAGTTTTTCTATTCATATTGTGAAAATAGTTATGGATTACTCCATAATATCTGATAATTTTCCAAATAGATCACCTTGTAATTATCATTATTCTGTTAACTGTTTCTCATATATATATATATATATATATATATATATATATATATATATATATATATATATAAATTGTTATTCACTTAATTGTTTTTTAATAACAACTACAACGGAAATAAGCTACAAACTACATGTAATTTTTCGTCACATTGTAATTATAATCCAATTAGTAGTAAATGGATTGAGCGAATAACTATTGATGCTACAAGTAAATGATTCTTCTTGTAATAAGAATATTTATAATTATCGATAATAATCATGTTAATATCATTCGTAAATCTATTACTGTTAGTTTGATTATTACCTCATATGGTGGTAAGAAAATAGATATTATTATTTGCTTTATCATTCCTGTTTGTTTTTGTGCAATTATTCTGTAGGCATAATATTAATTGCTTATTATTTTAACTTATAAAGCTGTATTAACTGCTAACCTTGGGTAACATGGTCGTTGATACTTCACGATTTTTCTGTACAACACAAATTTAACTTATTAGACATAAATAGTGGGCAAGGAAATAACCTATTTAAGTAAAATGCCTTATTTACTATTTGATATGGAGTATTATTCTGCTATAATACTCGTAACTGAAAAATAAATGTATAAATAAGACAGGGTTAATTCAAATAAAAAAAATTACTATAAACTTTCAGCATATAGACTGTAACTGAGTATGAACAGATTTCTGCAAGATTTAAAGGTATCGGAATGCGCTCTGTAATCGTTATAATAAATTGTTACAAGTATTTTTTGTGGTAGTAATAGACTTAATGTGATGACATAACTAGAAATTGATCACAATATTACTAGACTCCATCATCCTTAACTTTGTAATATGCTGTCGTGTTTATTTTAGATAACTTTTCTACTCATTTTATTAATTTCTACTTACATATTATATGCTGTTTATAAATACTATAATTTTAATTAATTAACTGTTATAAAACGTGTCATCTTGCCATTTTTTTTTGGCTAAAATGTGAACAGAAAATTTATATACATAGTTTTAGTTTTCACCTTGCCCGTCGTGTCACCTTATGGTTCGATTTTAAAAATGACCTATAAACTATTTTATATTTGTGTGCTTGAAAAACAAATTTGTTACACTTTTAAAGTGAATGAACAAAGAGAATAAATATAATACAAGTAAAAAAAAAGATTGAAAGAAAAGATATAGCCAAGCGGCAACGAAAAAAAACTAATAATGAACGTTTCATAGAAAGTTTTAATCATTACTAACTGGTACATTTAAAATCTGAGTAGTTATAATTATTATTCATAGAAATTCTAGTTATGAATTAGATGTTTGAAGCATGAAACTTTGAACTGTTAAAAAAAACATTGCAAATTTTAATATTTCTAGATAAAATATTCAATATTAAGAAATAATATGGAAATAGTAAAATATGTCAAGATGAGAGTGAAGTGTTTTAAGACTGTAATTGGGTACTTCATTTGTTAGTCATCACTATTCAAATTAATCGTTATGTAGAAACCCAGTGATTATTTTTATTTCTTCCATCCTTAGTCACTTTTAAAGTTGTTCTTTTTTAAGTTTATAAAGTTTAATGTGAAAGGAAGATAATTCACTTCATGAGAGTAATCTAAAGAAAACACAATTCAAAGTAAACATTAGGATGGTGTCTTAAAAATTTCTAAATATATATTTACTATTTAACAATTATCATGTATATTCTAACGGGATCATCTCAATATTTCCTTGTGGTGAATTTTACACGCTTCATTTATTTTAAAATAACATTCTATCTACCTGACTTATTAATAAAATTTATGATTGAGATAATGAACCGATTGATATTAGACCATCGTTGAAAACCTGGAAGCACTTGAAGGCCGTTTCGTCCTATCGTGGGACACCTCAGCAGTACGCATTCTCGACCCCGCCTGCGGGATTCGAACCCAGTGCCCTCAGTCTCGCGCACGAACGCTTAAGCTACTGGGCCACTGATGCAGCATCCAATAGTATTAGTGTCTAACATCAACCAATCCACGAAATTGCGCGAACACCTTCCATTGTACTGAGGTAGATACCTGTCTCTACTCAACATGGATTAGCTCCACTAATCACAGCTTCTCACTAGAACTCCGAGAATTCTTTTGCGAAGCTAGTCACTAGTGATGTTAGAACAACGGAAATTAACTACAAAATACATGTGATGCATATAATTGAATGCTTGCTCAGTGTTCCAGTAGGTTAAGCGTTTGTGCGCAAGACTGAAGGCCGTGGGTTCGGATCTCGCGAGCGGGATCATGAGTGTGCACTACTGAGGGGTCCCACGATAGGATGAAACGGCCATCCAGTGCTTCCAGGTTTTCAACGGTGGTCTAACATCAATCGGTTCATGATCTCAATCAAAAACTTGACAATCTCCACAACCCTTATACTGATAATAAAATTTATGCAGAATCACTGAAATTTACATGTAACTAACATTTGTTTGCCCATGTTATTATTTGTATAATAATTATCATATTTACTGGACTGTTTGGGTATTTGCAAGTTGAACTGACGGTCATTTATTGTGGGATTGTTATTTTTGTTGAACCTGTTGAAAAACACATCTAACTTACTGTCTGAGTTATTTGGCATACCGATTTGGTAATAGTCCATGAGTAACTACATGTTAAGTGAAACTTATGAAAACTTAAAAAGAAAATTATATAAGGTAGACGCTTCAGTATAATTACTTTTGATCGTGTAAACTATTCTGGTTGGCATTTTTTAGCGAGTTGTTTTTCTACGGGATGAGGTCACTAACTACATTCTCAACCCTCCTCCTTTACCCGGGTTCGGGACCGTTAGTAACCCAAAAGAGACTCCAATGTAGCAGCAGCAGTAGGTCTGAACATACACAAAGGGAAAAGTAAGGTTGTCCGATACACAGAAGCATGCACTAATCGAATCAAACTTGACGGAGAATCTTTGGAGGATTTAAAAACAATTCAATACTATAACACAATGGCCATTAATTTTTTCCCTAGTTTTTAATGACTGTCCACCCATATTCAAACTATGATGTAAACTACAAACTAATCAGATAAAATAGATTAAACTAGAAGTTTACACATCTGGGCAGCATCATTGATGAACATGATGGGTCTGATGCAGAAGTAAAGGCAAGGATTGGCAAAGCACGGGCCGCATTTCTACAATTGAAGAACATACGGAACTCAAAACAACTTTTAACCAATATCAAAGTGAAAATCTTCAATACAAACGTCAAGACAGTTCTACCGTACGGAGCTGAAACTTGGAGAACTACTACAACCATCATTAAGAATGTACAAGTATTTATAAGTAGCAGTCTACGCAAGACACTCAACATCCATTGGTCGGATACCATCAGCAACAGCGTTCTGTGGGAGAGAACAAACCAGCTTCCAGCTGAACAGAAAGTTAGGACAGGTCGATGGAAATGGATAGGACATACATTAGTCAAATCGTCAAATTGCACCACTAGTCATGTACTAACTTGAAATCCTGAAGGGAAATGAGAAAGAGGAAGGCCAAAGAACACACTGCGTTGGGAACTGGAAGCAGACATGAAAAGGATGAATAGCAACTGGAAAGAACTTGAAATGTCCGCCAATGACAGAGTTCGATTGAGAATTCCGGTGAGCAATCTATGCTCTCCATAAGGGGTAATGTGCGTTAGTTACTAAGTAAGTATGAATATTATTCACTAACCAGGTTTCTCTCATAATTCTAACAAAAATAATGTATAGACAACATATGTAATCCTAAGTAGCTTTGTTCGAAATTCTCTTTAAATTTATGTTTAGTGGAATTTTTCTCCATGTTTTTATATATAATACAATACGTTTTACAAAGTGGTAACTTTTTGCATTATTTTTTCTTTTTGTTTTTGCTAACTACTTAGTGATGAAGGATTAAGAAAAAAATTTTTTACAGCTCTCGAAGATTTACGAATACATGGACCGCCTGGTATATCACGGCATCCAGGACCAAGCCATATAAGCTATCAATGGATTTGTGATATTTGGTTAAAACATCATTTAGGTCTTGTACAACTAATTCCTATGTTTTCAATAAGACGTGTAGATGGTCGAATGTTGTCTAGTTTAATTACCTACAAACGTCTAAAACATTCTATCCAGCATAAAAATAGACGAAAAAGTAAAGATAATCATAATAATGACAACGATAATAATTGCTGTGATATAATAATTTCTAATCCCAATGATGATATTCCTCTTTCGAATTATTCACAACAGAATCTTATCAATTTGAAAACTAATCAAATTAATGGTAGTAGTAATAATAGTAATGATAATATTAGCAATCATTCAAGTGTTAAAAGTATTTCGTCTGTATCTTCTACAAGCAGCATAACGAACGCTGTTCAAGATTCCTGCAGTCATAGTAATAACAATAATAAGTATGATAATGGTAATGAATATATGGAACGTAATTGGCAAGTTGCTGGACGTAAAGAAATGTTACATATTTTATTAGGTCTGTCGCATACATCATCATCATCATCGTCGAGTAGTGGTGCAGATTTATCTGTAGATTCGAGATATTTACTTGGCAAAAAAGAGGCTGAAAGTTTACGTACTGCTATTGAATTATTACATCATCATAATTTCAATATAGAGGTGAGTGTTTAGATTTTCATAATTATACATGTAATAAAACAAACAGATTTCCAGTTTTTAATTCAACATGATTTATGTTTGTTTAAAAAGTAACAAATTCAATCTATTCATTTTTTTTCACCCAGTTTTTTTTAGCAATTATTATTTTTTTCTTGTTTAAATTATTCAAAAGTCAAATGGTAATATGTACTTATTCAAATTACAGTTTACCTAGAAATTCTTACTACAAATTATCATTAATTCATTCCAAAACCCAAATGGTGAAGTTATCGGATTCAAGGTAGCTAACTGACTGACTGGTAGTTAACTACTTTTAAATGTGAATTTCTCTTCCATCATTAACTTCTGCATAATTTGAGAAATTTTAATTATTGTGAAGTGGGGTAAATGCTACATAGGATAAATAAAAATCTACAAATCACAAATAATACACTAGGAAGGTGTTTTTGTACAATTCAAATCCAAATGACGTTTCAATGCCAAAAACAGTGAGCTTATGTAACACATTAATATTGTAATTGGCAATTTAAATTTACAGAGTGTTTGTTTGAGTAACGAAATACAATATATGTACGTTTGAACTAAGCTATAATCTACAGAAAGGCTAACATTTTGGACTCGGAGTTTTATGGTATGACGTGGGTAAACTTACAGGTTAAGTTAAAGAAGGAATCAATCCTTTTCCAAATATTTCAATCAACTGAACTTCTAAACTCTATCATCCGATTTACTTTCTCTCTCTTATGTCTGTGAAATATATATACAATGTTTTGAAGTGACAAAAGACTAAATAACTGTATAATGACTGTTTTAAGTTAATCTTGTTGTATAGTCAAATTCTTAAACGTATCTATATAAAGTGAAGATTAATAGAAAATCTCAACACGACATTCGATGAATGTCACAACATTTCTTGTCCAGCTTCAATAGAAAAGTAATTGATAGAGGGTATTGTATTTAGTAAGTAAATGAAATAATGGTATATTTGTCTATTTTATGTATAACGATAAAGTTAGATGTGAGTCATAATAAGTTGTGTGACATGCTCTTAAATAAATAAAACCTAGCCAAATCGGAAGTATTTAAGGAATCTGAACGTTGTAATAACAAAACCAAATTTAAATCAATTACATTAACTAAATCTTTCAAAAGGAAAACATAAAGAAAATGAATTAAATTAAACATGATACAAGATAACTCATATTCAAAATCAATATTTAATAGACCATTCCTTATAATTCCATTGGGAACATACGCATTTGATTGGCTATTTAATATATAGAGATAATTCGTTTTCAGTATTGAATGTCAATTAAAATCGATAATAATCCATGTCCTTTTTTAATAATAAAACTTATGAATAATATTATTAGTATTAATCTATAAATGAAATTTTTTAGAAATATTTTAGAAAAATAATTTTATTTCCTGTTTCATAATCTATGGCATGGAAACAATATATATATATATATATATATATATATATATATATATATATATATATATATATATATGTTTTCTAATTAAAATGACAATAGAAAACAAATTAGATAGTTACTAATATGTTATATTGATTTGAAGATTGTATAAAAGAAAATAGTAAATCACAGAGTAATGAATACAAATTTTAAACTGAAGAAAAAGACAAAATTAAAAAAATAATAAAAGAAAGTATATCAGTAGTAATATTCTGTTTATTTCGATATTATCATAAAAAGATAATATGGTTGAAATTTATCTGCAATGCAGGTACTAATTTGTCTCGCGTGTATAGAGATTATATTCATTTTTTAATTTAAATTTACTTATTTAGTGATAATATACTTATATCCACTTTAGTTTGAACATTTGTAAAACTCTTGGGAAAGTCAACTATCTAGCTTTGAAGTATAACAATAAATGGTTTGAGTATTGTTTACTGATGAAATCACCATTTTCATTGAAACGCCTATATTTGTGTATTTCACGCTATGAAAACTTAATAATTAAATGGCTTGTTAAGTGAGACTTCAAAGTTTTGGTTCCAAATGACATAGATAAGTGCCACTAAAAACCCTGAAACTAAGATGAAACAGGTACCCAGTACTCTCCAGATTTGACCGATTTTCCACCAGACTTCAGCATATGATTAGGCCTACCTTCGAAAACCTTTTTTTGTTAACTGGAGGTTGACGCGACGGAAACTTCTGATATATGTTATTCGCTAATCATAGCCTGTTGTTTGTACCATGTTTCCGAAACTAGTAAAACAGTGCTGTGAAACGAAACTCATATTTAATCAAAGCTTTCACATCATGTTTGTTATAATTTTACCATAAATTGCTTATCTTCACTCTAATTATATCCTTTACCGATGAGTCTACCTATTATCATAATACTAATACCCGTAATGCAGCCACGATATATGCCAATATTGATTATCGAGTGTGGATTTCCTTGTTTTTAACCAGTTCAATTCAAACACAAGAATGGTTTGTTTTGTATTATTATGGCTCGAAAACTTACATTATTATATTCGTCGAACATAAGATCGTAACACATCACAAGCAAATCTCAATCCATGCAAAACTACGATATATATTATACAAAATCAAACATGTACAGAATTAATTAGCTGCAATTTATGAACGGTAAAAGATATATCAACAATAGTTAGGGAGGAAAATGAAGGCTTGCGTAAAAAAAGTGTAAACCAGTTATTTAATACATAGATAATAAGAAATATGTGTAGCAACATATCAGTGAATAGATTTATCCTTTTCATTTATTGGCATATTTTTAACAATATATTAAGAAGACTATTCTTTTTTATTTCATTAATTATTCAGTTGATAGAACAAATTCGTGCTAAATCTGATCTTTCCGAATTAGATCTTTTGTATTGGACAAATGATCATATTGTTAAGTGGTTATCTGATTTAGGTTTAAGTGTAAGTTTTATTTTCTTTTAATTAATATTTTTTAAAGTATACCAAATTGTCGGTGTGGTTGAATCTCATTATGAGGATTACACTTAGGATTATTTCGGCGATTTTTTGAAGTTATATTCTTTAATATTATCTGCTACTGACATATAAGGTAATCACATCCAACTTATTTCTTACTTTAGGGAAAAATATTATGCAGACGGTTTTGAACAATAATACTTTTGATACTTAATGTATATAGATTAAAAGGAGGAATAAAACGTTCTGAATAAAAATGGAACATTTTTTACCAAACATTAAAATTTCACTTTATCTTACAGATTACCATGGATAACTGCATGATTACCAACAATTGCCCATAAAGTTACCATTTATGACCTGCTTCAAACAACTACTCCTTGAATAATTTGGTCACGTTTTGAGGATAAATAGGTCACTAATAATCATGTTTTCTTTTCAATTAATTCAAGGAATTTCCTCCTATGATGTAGGAAACCTGAGATTGACAAAAACTCAATAATTTGTAATAGCGTACGTGATCTTGTTATTTACAATCGAATCCGAAACTTGACTGAACAGTTTATAACACCAGACTTTGTCTAATTTCGAATACAGACCATACAAAATTGATCACTAATAATCAATCTCTAATTACCAATCAATAACCTACTTAGCACTTTATTATATGCAGATTTTATTCAGATTTTTGTTAGAGTAAAACATAACTTTTGAAAACGTCATATTTTTTTTTACTTTTCTGACGGTACCAATTTTAGGGTATATCTTTTTGGAATGTAGCTTTCTAACAAAGTCTGGACTTACACATTCTGCTGTTTTAGTCACTAAATTATCGCAAATCTGCAATAAATCTTAATTTGCTTTTAAGCTTGAAAATTGTTTCTTCTTATAAATTTGTATCAAATATCGGTCATCAGACTACCATGATTGATGAAGTTAACAGATTAAGTATGGCAGTTAGCACACTTAACGACTTCCTCATCTGTTTTTCGTTCATGTATCAGCGTGTATTGATAGTGAAACAATATTTATCATTTGGGAAATGAAACGCCCTGAAAGTTTTAGGATGTTCAAGCAATGGTTAAAAGAGAGTATTTTGTAGAAGGTCTAACATGAAATGACTGTTCAGTTTCCGGAGAGTGATATGATATTTGTGTAGATTAACGGGAAACTTTCAATTCGCTAGACGTTTATCAAAAATTTGAATAGATAAAAGTTGATAACCTTAACAATATCGTTTGGATACACGTCTACAGCGTACTCTTTCTTCTATACCTTGCAAATCGTTACTCATTTACTCGCAAACCCATGGATAATTCAAAACAGTTATCGATCATTATCACTTGACAACTGTCTTGTTTTAAGCTTGCGACTCATATAAGATTCGTATAACTATGTAAACTTCTTGAAGTTAGTTTTCATCAGGTACTAGGCTGACTCTGTTCTGTTTCTTCACTTTTGACATAGACAGCCAGCTGACAAGCCCCGAATTGGATAAAATGCGCATTATTTATTCTAATGTTAGCTGCATCTTAAATGTACCGAACATTCCTGTGACTAAAAGGTAATATCCAAAAAGTCTTCTTAGGGTGCACACGTACCAATAAAGACTGAATTATTTCACTTACAAGCTTTGGGAAAATGTAAACTGTAATGTATTGGTTGCTTGAACCTTCCCATTGATGTTTAGGACTGCAACTGACCAGTCTTTTATATGCATCCTGTTCGGATTACCTCTATATTGCCTTAATTCACAAACATTATAAGCTGAGATGATGGACCCAAATATGATGATACTCGCGTCCTGAATACCATTGTTAACTATCGTCATCTACAATGTTTGGTATTATTTTGTGTTAAAATTAATATCATATGTTAAGCAGAACTATAAAAATCCATAATCAATGATTTTATTATTACGTCGCAATTAGGCTTGATTAGGACATATTACTTTAAAGTATAAATTTATATCAAGAAATTATACATTACACGTTTAACGTTTAATAAGAAAAGCGAACTAATAAATTGTTTAAAGTTACTTTTAACTAAATTATTAATGAGATAAACTTCATAAGTTTTCTTGTTGGTATTTTGGTTAACATCAACAATTTTTGTTCGGATTTCTGAGAAAAAAATGCATCCATATAGTTGTAATATAATACTGTCAAAAAAATTAATAAAGTATACAATTTATTAACAATAATCATTTTAACGTGAAAATAATTATAGTTAAATTGTAGATAGTTTAAAAACACTTCAGCTAAGGTGAAATAGTTTGAATTTAGTTATTTTGATGGAGTTTTGTTCTCTGAGCTGAATGGTTTGGTCGTGGAGCTTTCATTGTTCTCCTGAACGACATCATCAGCGCAAACTTTAGATAGAAATGAAGCGTTCGAGAACAAAACTCTATCAAAATCATCCACCTGAACTACAAATCTCCACCATTTCGAATTTATGTATTTTTGATTTTCAGTTATTAACTTTTCTGAAGACTAAATAAATAAGTCCACATTGAGGTAGAGGATTCTTTAATGATTGCTTTAATATAGTCCGTACGTACAATTTGATTATGCTTACTGAGTGTGTCTCTTTGCCATAAAATTCATGATAATTTTTTGTCTTTCTTTAGAACAGAGTAAATAAATGTGAACTTAATAAGTAAATAAACAGCATAGTGTTTACATTATTTGTAATGAAATATTCATAAACCAATTAATTATATACATTATTATTATTATTTATACCACTTTCTAAATAGGATTTTGTGCACGGAATTGATGCAAGTGGTTTACATGGTGCATATATGGTACTTGATTCAACGTTCGATTTTAATACATTGATTAAACGTTTGCATATACCATTGAATGTTGCAGTTTTGTGTAAACTAGAGGAGAATTTACAACGAATATTGAAACCAGCTAGGTAAAGTATCAATAATCTATTATTATTATTATTTTAAACATCCATTTAAATAATTTATGTATTTGTTAAAAGGGAAAATCCAATTTTATTTATTCGTAATCTACGTTCATAATTATAGGTCGATAAATATTTCTCTTTTTTCAACAATAGACTATTCATTTCATATATGTTCACATTGTCATCAGCACAAGTTGCATTACTGTCTAGTTGTATAAAAATTCGGTGAAATGTTAGTTTATAAAGTCAATCATGTTTTTTTGTTAAACAACATTCATGAATTTAAAATCTTAAAATACCATCAAGGAATTATTGTCTATTCTGTTTAAAGCTAAATCACACACTAAATTGCATTCTTTTTAATCGGGTTTTATCAAGCAGATTTGTTTGAATAAAATATTCGTTTTTAAAACTGTGCTTACAAACAGATCAGTGTTTATTTTAACGATACTAGAGAGTTTACTACATGAGAATAGAAAATAGATCATTCAGAGATGAAATCAACCATTATATTTACGATTAAAGGTATTAGATGTTAGTTAACAGTGGAGTTTTTGCCAAATATTTCACTCCATTTATGACTCGTCACCTTAAAGTTTCTGCTTCCCAATTTTAGTGTTCCTGTTGCGGCTCGAATGTATCACTTATTATTTTAACCGGCTGATTGTTATTCATCGGGTCACTTTTTATTTACTAAATATCAGTTGTGATTAAATCTTGTTACTTACATTTGATGATTTCTTTTACAAAACCGTGTCAATCAGCTTTGATTGGGATGTAGCCTTTTTTACAATTATTTTATTAATAATAGCTATTATTTGATACTCTGTATAGTCTTATCAAGGCTGTATTTAGTGATACCTGTAAATAGAATTAAGATCCAGTACGGTGGTACAAATTTAAACAGGATTCTGAAAAACAATCTATAACAGGAAGTCAAAAACTTAAAAATTTCAGAATTTACTGTTTCTAAGGTGACAAAATTTGACAGTGATAAAACCCTCACATTATTCTAAATAAAAAATAAAGTAGTTTTGACCTATATATATATATATATATATATATATATATATATATATATATATAATATTCATAGACAACCAACGAGCCGATTATAATTTGTTATAAACAAACTTAGTTTTACAAATCACAATGGCTGATATCAATTTTATACTCTGGAGTTGGAATGCTGTACTTTTATTGATATCTAAGAAAATGTTCCTTATTTAGTAACTATTATAAGATAATCACATGTAATTGTTGATTCATAAAAATAGAACTTGGTTTTTTTAATGTGCAACGTGATATCTACAAAATTGTGGTTTATGGATTTTTTTTACTCGAGAAATGCTTCACGACACTTAACTATCTTTGTATATAGTATTACAGTTTGAAATTCATCTTTAACGAAAATTTGTATGAAAAAATTTGCTTCCATTTCCCATGGGACTGGAATGATACTTTTACACTGTTTAGTCAATTAATATCAACTTACCTATTTCATTTTGTTGAATAATAACTATTGGGAACGTCAGAAAGTCGTGGCAATAAATTAAATGAATTGGCGTTCTAGTATGTTTACTTAAATGTTTATTTAGGTGCTAGTATTTTTTATACTGACTTATGTTTTGAACTTATCATATCAGAAGTATTTCCAGTTAAAATAGTGTGATCTTAATGCTTTTCATCAGATGGTTTTGCAGGGATCAACACAGGTGAAGATAACAGACTGTATGTAAATCCAAAAGTACAAAAGATATGAGAACCATACACTGAATACTTTATTTTCGGATTTCCATCACTTGTCCGTCACGTTCTATATGTTTATTTCAGTTCACGATTCTTTCCTATTTTCCTTATATCCTCTTGGACTCGATCTTATTAGCCTTCTGCTGACAGATTTTTCGCTTCCTGCTTATGTCGACAGACATAAGTAGCGTATACCACAGTTCTATATTAATGTGTCCACAGATTTAATGTTGAAAACGGTTACTGTAAAGTTAACGAACTATTCCAATTATACAAAGACTTAAGTCTACGTTCTACTAAAAAGCTCGAAAAGTTCAGAAGCTCAATAAGTTTACAATACATTTTTTAAATCATATAACATGATTAAAAGTAAATATGTATAAAATTTTGACGGGTCAAAATTTATTTGCACAATAAAGCAATTAATTACAGCATATTTACTGGTGCTTTGAGATGAGCTACGTAAAGTTCAAGTAAAAAGCTGTGACTAATTGAGTCAATCAAGTTAGGAGTGAAATACTTACAGATGATTTATTCAGTATTTTAAATGTAGACTACTGGATTCGACTTTGTTTTCTAAGCGTATCATACTCGTTTTGAGGCGTCTAGGTTTTGGGAACTATCCTATGGAGAGTCATGAGAGTACACTTTTGAAGATTTCCGAACAAAAAGAAGTAGCAAATTTTTACCTTTTTTTGTTAGTTTTTAACAGATTTCAATTTACGATAAAAATAATCTTCGAACTTTTGCGTCCTCCCCACTAAACACAGATGGTATATTTGTATATTTAGTAGAAAGAGGACATTAGTAAAAATTATCTCTTCCTTTCTCCATAACTATTTCATAAACTGAATAATTATATGCAGATAAATCTTACAGTTTACATGTTCTCTTCATGATGAGTTTCACGCCATCTTGTTTGGTGTTAAATTGTTTTTAGAAATATTTGTTGGCAAATCAAAATGAGTGATTTATTTTCATATTACTTTCATGTTACAAGTCAATTTACTTGTCTACATGCAATATTCACTTATTAACAAAGATTGTTAAATGCATGTGATTATGTAGACCATGAACTTTAATGCCATTTTAAACGTTTTAGTCTATAGCTAAATATCTGACAGTTCAAACTTCTAAACTTTCCAAATTTTTTCCCAACTTCGTTTACTGATAACTTAATCTAAAAACAGAATAAAAATTACATATTTCATTTTATACACTGCATATTTTATAATACGTTAATCAGTTCAGTTAACTTCTATTCAGTAGAAAAGCCATGTTAAATTATGAACTGATTGATTCTTATCTACTGAAATTAAATATTGTGGCTCATAATCTAATGTACCAACTAGACAGATAGACATCAACAAAAAGCCTGGAATTTATGTGGGTTGACCCTAGTTGGCATACCCGACAAGATAAAGTAACAAAATTGATCGAAATTATATAGTAGTGATGATAAAACGAAAGACTATACCTTGGGAATATCGTTTAAAAAGATAGAGTGTAAAGGTATGTATGAAGAAATGCTGGAACTAGAGCGCGAGGGAACGAAGAAAAGTGCATGAATCTCTGTCACTTTGAATGATTCTGAGCCAGTTCACCCAACGTCTTCAACCATTGATTCCAGTTATGACATGGACCCTAAAAGAGCAGTCTGCATCTACCGACATGGCTAAAACCAACAATCAACGGCTTCATTGGCTAATGAGACGTTTTAAATATACTTCTACATTGGCAAGCATCACTGATTGAGGTCGGTAGTGGTTAGGCGTTCGTAACACATATCTTAGTCATCCCGAACAATGAATATTTATTACTTTATCAACCGACTTGGCAAATTGGTCACATACTATATGCCTAGCCTAAATAATACTCACTTGGTCATTTCATAGAACACGAGCAATGCTTGGAAGATACCCCTGATCAAATACCTCGAGCCTACGTATATTTTCTATTTCGTAGGCTGTCTCACAGCCATAAATTAGAATAGAGTGGATTGGTGTGAAGCATACATGACCTCTGGTTAGAATGTGGAGATCTCGCCTATGCCACAAGTGATGCAACTTGGCAAATGTCAACCAGGCTTTCGTCAGATATCACCCCACAAGAACTGATGAGAGTCTTAAGATAAGTAAAGCGGTCACCCTAAAGATAAGGTTTTTATTTTAATGATACGTAGTGTGCAACACAGAGAACTATAAATATGTATCAAAAAGTTTGTAGTTTTATGTCATTGACCGATTTTAGTCAAACAATCGTAAAAAACATTTGAGCAATGAGCAGCTATTTTGTTCTGGTATTGGAATTCTCGATAGAATACATCCACTGCAACGCCAAGGGTCGAATCCCGAACTTTCATTCTGTGAAGTGAATGATGTACCCCCAGAATATTTCATAACATCTCAGTACCCTGGGGATAGTTAATCATAGCTCTGTATGGTAGTCCTTAGTTTTTCCCTCAGTGCGATTGTAGATGGACACTGATAATGACTTTGATCTTAGGACGAACTAATACTTCCATGTTTTCAGTAGTTATCTAACGAAAATTATTTCACAATTGGAACTACATATTCGACAATCTCAACAACCTCGTGTATTAGTAAATCAGAAAACCTTTTTAGAAGTTAAGAATCTCCCTTGTATTTTTCAACTGATCTTATTTTTTCAACCTGGAGTACTGTTACATGACTAAATATTAGTGGAAATGATTCACAACCTACGGATGAAATTGTGACATTTTGATCACTATTTTTTCTAGTTGTCCTCAATTTGTTAGTTTCTGTATATAACACCACTTAGAATTTTCCGTCAGACTGTTTCTTAAGTGTACTAATGAAATCATTATTCTGTCAGGCTTTCTTTTAGGTCAGGTAGGCATTTGGTGGCGAGGAAGTTTATATTCTAAATCTGCTTTATGTGCTATTCAAACTAGCTGATATTACTGCCATCTTATTGAAAAATGAGTACATAAACAGAACTAGACTATTGATTTAGTATTTGAATAGGTCAGTATTATAGTACCTTGAATATACTTTTTGTTCAAAATATTAGTCCCTTTCTAAGCTGGAAGGTATGGAATGAAATAGGTTTCAGCTTGTTATACTAATCTATTTATTAACTTAACCTCAAGGACTGACTGGGTAGACAACCGCTGAGAACGAGAAATATTTAGACAGCTAATTATTTCTCGTATGCTACTCATAAAAAGTGCGGATTCACGAACTCGCGACCTGCAATCGAACCCAAGAACT